CTCTCTCTCTCTCTCTCTCTCTCTCTCTCTCTCTATATATATATATATATATATATATATATATATATATTGTCACTGGTTACCACAAATCAATCATATGATTCATCCAGTCCAGATTAGATCCACTATATCGGGAGAATTAAATTAGTACTTAATATATAGCGGTTGATGACAAAATTCCTAATCATGGAAATTGACATCCAAAGAAACTTACAACGACTTCGGTCCAAAATGCACAAGGATAAAATTTGTGGTCATATTATTGACGTGACTGTATTAACGAAATTGATCAATTAGTCTGATCCACATGATTGCATGTTATAGGTCATGAAGACTGGGGAATTGTCTCTGTAAATGAAAGACTACAAGAGAATAGTGAAAAAAATCGATAGAAGAAATTACCTTTCTAAACGAACCAAGCATCAAAAAAATGTTTGCACTTTCAACTAATGCAAAAACTCTTGAGTCATCCATCTCAGTGGCTCGCCCATATGACTGTTGGAATGCCAATAAAAAACAGCCATTCAATGATCAAACCCAATCAAGGCTCAGCATTAATAAGAATAAAATGGTATTAATAACAATGCCGAGATTCTGACGATGGTACAGATTTGTCCGTCGAACAACATAGTATGCACGGAGCTTAATTGGTTCATTTTATATGAGTGGAGTGTAAGCATACAAGTCAAAATCAGAGCTTCAGAATAAAGTTCAGGAAATGAGTCTCCATATTACCTAAGCTAAGTAAAAACGTAAAACAGGAAAAATCCAAGTGCAACCTTAAAAGTATTTTTTGCCTGGTATATAAAAAGTTCGTGTCTTGTCACTCAGAAAACTTTATATGAACTTAATTAAGTTGTATCAGCTTGTGTTGATGTAGATTCAATAAGCATAATTACTCCTACAATTATCAGAAAAGTGATTCACAAATGTAGCCGATGTAAACCTGTTTATGCAGTTTACATAAATTCTTTTCATTATAACAAGAGTTGATGCATTTCCAGGAGGGGATTCTAGATATTTATGTTCAACCACATTTTGAATAATTTTAATAGGAGAACGCAAAGTTTATTTAATTTGGTTAATTTTCAAAAGATTTAATTCCCTCTACAGCCACCATATAACAACCAACAATTAAATCCACTGGTCTCCAGAAAACCCAAATGAAACAGAAGAAGAATTAATGGCAAGGGAGCTGGAAAAGGAAGAAAGCTTGCCTTAATAGCTGCAGTCAACTTGCCCAGTCGCTGGTAGGCAAGACCCAGGGCCTACAGTGGCACAAGAAAATGAAGAAAGATAATGCTGATCAGAACCCGGAACAAGAAAAACAAAATGAAAGAAAAGTGGCCTGGGAAAACGACCACAGACTTCCCATAAGTCAGCACAGGTAGGATAGCCTCGGATAGCATGCTGAAGACTCTGCACTGCTTCAGACCATTTCTTATGATGAACCTGACAAGTTATCAGTGTGGATGTAAACACACACACACACAGAGCTTCACTCTGAACAGAATTGTCGAAGAAAGAATGAAAATAGAACCTGAAGGTAACCCAGTCTCCGAAATGCCCAAAAGGCCCTAGGTGACTTCTCTGAAGCTTCTCGGCAGACGGAAATCTCCAAGCTTTCCTTTCCCCCTCCGTCCAGCAAATCACATATTGCTTCCTGCACACAAACCCGTAAAAACACGCTGAGACGGCATGGATTCTTACGCCCACAACTTGTCAAATTTTGCAAAGATAAAATCCGAAGTTCTTTTTTTCCTTTACAGTACAAAGTAAGGATAGATAAATAACCCACCCCGGAATCGGAGTCATCGGCATTGAGGGTGATGGCTCTCTGGTAACACTTGAGAGCTCTCTGGGTGTCGACCGAAATGCGGCTGTAGTAATGACCCAAATATCTAAAAGCAGGGCCATTCTGTGGGTTGAGCTTGGCTGATATCACAAAATGCTCCGCTGCTATTTCCTTGATTTCTTTCGAATTTTCACCCTTTTCCCACAATAACACCCCCTGCATAGATAGATCCACCGACCCCAAAATTCACTTTATCTCACAATCGTCGTATAAACATTAGATTGTTTTTTTATTTTTAAATACAATCACTAATAGGGTTTCGATAATCGAATCCCAAAGTAGATAAAAGAAGAAGGAAGGCATTGCGCAAACATAAGTACTAGTAGTAACATTACGAGGTTAAAATGGAGGGAGGGGTCATCGGGGTGGGAGTCTGCAGATTGTTGCAACTGTCGTAGAACAGCTTCGTCTTCTCCATTCTGATAATTAAACAAAACAAAAGCCACTCAATACGGATATTATATGTTTGAGACGCAAAGGAGCAAAAAGAACAACACAGAGAGAGAGAGAGAGAACCATACCATATTTGTTTCTTCACAGTTGGTACTCGGATGGATGGATGGATGGATGGATGGATATCTGATTGCTACAAAACCCTAGAGACAGTCGTTGGCCGTGTTGTTACTGTTCACCACTCGCATAACAGTAACGTTGATCTGAAGAGCAGTATACTGATGGCGGAGAGGAGAAGGAAGGCACAGGAGTAATGCTGCACTGTCAAATTTTAAGACTAAATTTGGGCATAAGAGTAATACTAAACTATACGCATGGAGGACTGGCTAATTTATTACCTTCACATGATGATTAGGGGAATTGCAACGGAAGGTTTGGTTACGTCATTTGAATCGCTATTTTGGATTATTTATTAAATATATTCCCATAATTCGATCTAATACATTAACTTATCCATGGTTTAATATCGTCATTACATTATAATTACAACTACTGAAATTTTTTAATTAGCATTGTATCAAGTAGCAACAATGATAAAACTTTCCTCCAAATGTTTAGTTACTAGAATTTTAAAATATTTAATCAATTTCTTCCAATCATATTATGTCTTGTAAGTTCGTTTAGTCGTCGTATTAGAAATGAATTAGTTATTGATTGTGCTTAAAGGCACAGAGTAATAAAAAAAATAGTCAACAATAAACATATTTATATTTACACTTAAAATCAAATTACAAACATAAAAAAATTAAATGAATTTAAGCATCAATTTATAGTAAGGATAAGCGGTGATAGTGATAATTAGTAACAATGGTGGTGGTTAAAAACAGTGATAGTTGTGATGAGTGGTGATAGTGTATGGTTGTAGGTGTTGACGATGGATAATGGGGGTAGTGATAATAAATATAATAATGAGATGACGAGGATGGTGGATGGAGATAATGGACAACGATAGTATCAATCGATTGTGAGTGACAACGGTGGTGGTGGTTATGAGGGTGGCGCTGGGTGGTAGTGGGACAATAGTGGTAATGGTAGATGATAGTAGTGGTGGCGAGGTGAGGACAATGATGATGGTTGTTTTGACAAAGGTTATGGTAGGGGTGACAACAATGATGGTAACAGTGTTGATGATAGTTGTGATAATAGTGGGGCAGTGGTGAAAGAGGTAATTGTTGTGGTGGTGTTGAGAAGGTTTCAAATATTACTTTTCTTTTTTTAAATACGTATGAAAAATTATAAGTTTTAGAAACGCTTTTAAAAAATTATCTCAAACATATTTGTAGGGTCATATTTTTTCTATTAAATTTGGGTTATTAATATTAGCTGTCAGATCAACTTTAAAATAAAATTTTAAAAATTTTCAACCGTAAATAGTAAAAGTCATTTTGTTTATTTTGAGATTTTAATTATATTGTACGTTATTATATAAATGAATTAAATATAGTAATCTAGCCTAATACAATATAGAAGAACAAAATATAAGATTAAATAGAATATTTTTTTAATACGTAATTTTATCTAGTGTTTGGTAATATACAACATAAACATTAGATAGTAGTTATTTAATTAAATCGGTTGTTTGATTAAATAATTATTTCATCGTATTAGTGTTGAATTAACAAAAATATCATCTATCAGTGTTTGTTACATTGATAACAACTTGATTTTATCAGTTGAGCGGTTATTTATATTTATACTACTAATAAAATTACCTTAACATGAAAAATTTTTGATTCACTATATTACCCTCATAAAAAATTAAAAATGTCACTTTATCCTTTTACACTTAATATCTAAATTACCATCATATCCTTGTACATTTAAATCTCCAAATTACATTTAACATCACTTTTAATTATATATTCTCTATGTATAAACGTCAATTTTTATGAAACTTTTTAATTGATTGTATTACTATTAAAAAATATATGCATCATTATAAGTTTTAACAAATATTCAAAAAAAAATCAATATAATATTACCCTTTTTTTTTTGTTTTTTTTTCATCAATATAATATTACTCACCTTATATATAAAGATAATATTATAACTGCATATTTATATTTTATTTTTCATCAAAATGTTTAACTCTTTCATTTTAAGGATATTATGGTAATTTAGATATTAAGTGTAGAATGATAAAGTGACATTTTTAATTCTTTACCAGAGTAAAATAGTGAATCAAAAGTTTTTCATGTTAAGGTACTTTTATTAGTAGTATAGATATAGATATTCTCTATGTATAAATGTCAATTTTTATGAATTTTTTTAATTGATTGCATTACTATTAAAAAATATATACATCATTATAAGTTTTAACAAATATTAAAAAAAAAATCAAAAATTTCATCAATATAATATTACTCTCTTTTTTTTTTCTTTTTTTTTATCAATATAATATTACTCACCTTATATATAAATATAATATTATGACTACATATTTATATTTTATTTTTCATTAAAATATTTAATTCTTTCATTTTTAAGATAAAAACTAATATATATATATATAGTTTTATATATATTTTTTAGTCGCAATAAAATTTTTAGATTGTGATAAGATTTTACGTAAAAACTCAATTTTTTTTAAAAAAAATTAATATGTTTTATAATATATATTATAGTATTGTATATTAAATTTTATCATAATTGACCTAACTAATCCTAAATTTAGTAAGTTCCAATACGATTGGTATATTGATAATTATTTTTATTTTATTCAATAATTTATAAGTAGAATCTTAATCAAATTAATTTTTAAAAAATTTAAATTTCAACCATCACTACAAAATCACTTTCAATTACAAAATTATAGAAACAAAATAGAACTTTAATTATTTCTTTTTTTTTATTATTTTTCTTAAAGTTAGAACAACAACTCTTGAAAATATATAAAATTTCAAAAATTTTATAGTGGAATATGAGAGATGAAAAAATAAGTTTGGTAAATTTGAGAAGATGTTTAATTCAAATACACATATAGTAAATATTTATTTATTAAATTTTTAAAAAAAAAATTATTCACGTGCAACGCATGTAATGCATTACTAGTAATAACAAATGTGTAGAATAATACATTTAAGTTAGATTATAATCTCACATCTCTTGGTGGTATTAAAATACCTTCATAATACAGGTATACCATATAAAAAATATACGATAAATATACATTTTTAAAATTAATACGGTATTAAATTTACTTACCAAATAAAATATTAAGTCCGATTAAATAAAAAATAGTACAATCTAATGGACCAAAATTTTTGCTTTGATGCATTATTTCGATCACCCAGAAAATGGAAATGAATGTTTTGACTTGTTTAAAAAATGTTTCGACCCGTTTTGGAAACAAAACAACAAAAATATAAAATATTAATAATTATTTTTTCAAAAATTAGTTAAAATATATCAAAATATCTTGAAATATTCCAAAACAATTATACAAATACATTAAAATATTACAAAATACCTCAAAATATTATGAAACACCTCAAAGTATTACTATTTCGATTATATCACTGATTCATTTAAGTATTCTTGAAAACGAAAACATTTCAAAACAAAATTTTGATCCTAAATTACAAAGCGGCCATCACTAATTTGAAACTCATTGTATTATGTATAAAATTAATTTTTATATTCGGACAATGACAAGTAACAATAAATCAGCAAATTATAATCACGGTAGATCCCTAGGCTCGAACGGCATTTCTCATCAGTTTAAACGTTGAAAGAAGAATGGACCGGACCCTATGGTATTTGGTAAGTGAGCCAGTAAGAGCAGTTAGTGTGTTCATATCGAGGAAGATACCTGTTCTGCTAATAAGAGAAGAGGCCATTAAAAGGAGAAAAGAAAGGAGTTTGGGGGGGGGGGGATTCTGATGAAAGTAATACACAGGCTTGCCCCCCAAAAAACATACATGAACACCACTCATGAGTAAATTTTTTGAGTCAGACATCCATCACGGATACAATTTATCACAAATAGGCTGAATTTCATAGGACTAAATTGATCAATAGAACATAAACAAGATAAACATTCAACAACACGTTTATTTAGTGGCCTGTGCAATCATAGTGCTCAGAGAACTGGCCTGCTCTTTGGCAGTCTCCACCAAAGAATCCTGCAAATCAAGCATAAGGGCATGTACTTAATAACGTTGGGAAGTAATGAACCACAAGAACCGCAAAGAGCCATACCTGCGCAGCTATTAGACGTGCAACTGTTTTCTTGCTCGTCTCCTGAAGTTCACCAGCAATCAAAAGCTCGTCCAATATGTAATAAGCCTGCAAAGCCTTCTGTTATGAACATCTTGGGTAGAAAATGGAGTAAAAATAAACAAAAACACTGCCTAAAAACTGCATGCACACACATCGATAGACTATTTAACATCCTCAAACGAGAATTATTATTCCACCGTCGTATGCCCTTCAAAAAATGATAACTCTTATTCACTGACTAGATCTGATTTTAACAAAGCCATGGCTTGCCTAAAAACTCCAGCACCTCTGATAATTTTGCACATTGTACTGTAACGGCATCTGTGGAATGGTTTTATTAGAAACAACTATGTGTTTATAAATGATTGCGACAAAAGATGCCCGAGTGCACAATTAATGCATGTTACCAGGGATGTGATACTGGATTCAGCTATTGTGGTCGTCACATGTTGCAGTATGATTATGTTGATTACATTTGAGTAAAATCTCCAAACAAGAAATAGAAGATTTAATCTACTTGTGTAATAATATATGCCCTTCAAAATATCACAACCCTCCCTTGACTATATCTGATTTTAACAGAAGTCGGGTCTTAACTGAAAAGCCCAGCACCTATGACAATGGTTAAAAACTTGCCACAATATACTCACACATTAACTAGTATTGTAAATATCATCTACCCACAACCCACGCTCACCCCTCAGGCCCTCACAACCCCCCCAACCCAACAAAAAAAACACCTCCTTTTCCCTCCCTCTTTCGAGTAACGTGGGGGCAGGGAGGGAACTCAATTAAAGGTCAACTTAGTGTGGATGAAGGGTCAAACACAGGACCAGGGAGCAGCCCAATGGCCAACTGGCCCTAAGCAATTGTTGGACTTGCTGGTTAAGATGAGCCTATAGAATTACCTGTCCTAATCAATGCACAATTTGTGCCAGATATCCACTGAAACTCAAACGATCATAAAGGCATACCGCTTGACTCACTCACAAGCCCTAGCCTATTGGGATCAGCCAAATCAATTCTTTCCCATCACTCAGTTCTACCGAGAACCATGTTTTCAATCTGACACCAGCAGCAAAAAAAGTAAACCCTATCCTTCAGCAAAAAGTTGGGGAAAACGGGAAAAATGCAAACACAAAGCGGGTCCTAGGAAAATACCTTGTGGAAATTAAAGATCAAGTCCAGCTCACAGACCTAATGAACCAGAGAGAAATACCAGAAGGTAAGTGGGGATATATGATAGCAAATAAACTACTTTTATCGCTTTAACAGTTAGCAGGCTCACACTTCCAAAGTAGCGGTCAAGTATCTCGACGAAATGGTGGATAATTTCAAGGACCTCCAATTCGTTGTCATCCTGGTCAATGCACATGCAAAAATAGAGACTGGCATATCTGAACATAAACACATCAAATGCAAAACCGTTATGCATATTTAAGCATGTCGTTCTTAAAAGTATACAGAACTCCATATATTTGTCAAAACATTGTCTCAGACATTAGTTTACATGAAAATGAATAATCCTGCCATACCTTTTATACACAACTTTGAATCCCCTCCACTCCACAAAATTGCAAAGCTTGGGGCCTCGTGTGAGAATTAATCCACTGAGCTCTCGGATTACCTTTGGAATGCGTGCACCCACATGGGATATACAGTGAGATTTCAAATATTAAGGACGCATCAACCCAGAAAATCATTGTGTTGAACAAGCAATTAATTGCCATCATCACACAAGTTACTTCCATGTACGTGAATGTGTGAAACCCAAATCCACAAAGATGCATTCCACATTCCCATAATAACAACTATAATAACAGCATCTAAGGTCACTATAACTTGTTAGCCTAAAGACAATATTAGAAACAGAAACAGCATCACATTTTAGAAACCCTCCCTTCCTAAAGAAGTCGATGCATAATAATGCAAAAGTAAAAGATGATTGCAATTAGATAATTCGTTCCACTTCTCCAACTAATAAAGCATACTAACCTTCTGGCCAAGAATACAGAATATAAGCAACATTGAGATTGAATTTTTTTTTTTAAAATGCAAAAAATACCTTAGTCCTTTCCTTCTGGGAATATGGTGAATACCACTTTGTCAGCCTCACTTTTCCCTGCCGGCTGATGAGAAGCACAAAGTGGATCTACCAAAAAAAAGAAAAAAAAATGAAGCAAAGGGTGTACACATTATCCAAAAGCAGTACCAATTTCCCAATACAGGGATTATGAGTCAAAATAGTGGTAGAATCAATCTTTTAACAAGAGAAGCCAACAATAGTCAACACATGATTTGTTTCCTATTAAAAAAAATAGTCAATACATGATAAGCCAACCCACATGCGTTGGTCAATGTTTGCCCATGATTGAAGGATCAGATTTGGATTTAGCAGATCTTTCTTCTTTGGTGCAGTAAATTTACTAGATTGAACTTGAGTTGTTGATTGAGAAATTCTAATTTCATTAAATTACTGACGATGTACTACTAATACATAATGAACAACTAAAGTACAGAAATCATAGAGTTAGACCTCACTTTTATTGAACATATCTTGGAATATGTATCTAGTAAATAAGACTCATTGTTTTCTTGTGGCTCCTTGATATTATTAGAGGTAGCTGAAGCATAGTCAAATATATTCACAATTTCAAGCTGGGTAAATATAAAAGTGAAGTTTGGGATTAGGAATTTCTAGACAGCAAAAAAAAATTGAAAGCTTAGGGCTGTGATGGTAGAAAAGGGTGGAACTAGAGTTTTAGGATCAAGAATGATCAATAAAGATGACTGATAATAGCTTCGGTATGCTATAGCAGCGTTGAGAAAGTATAAAAGATAATTGTCAGTCTCTCCGAGTTTCTACTACTAAGTAGAACTTTTGCTATTTAATCATAGAATCGATTCCGATCAAGTTGAAAAAGCCCTACATTATTAGTCAAGCGCTAATGTCCTATCTATAGTAGGGAGCCCTTTCTTGCTCGTAAGCGCTTTAGTTTAATTGCAAATAATAAAAAGGAGATAGCTCCTTAGAGTCTCAGGAACTTTCAACTAGAAAAGAAACTTAAGGAGATGACCATAAAACCACAACCAAACAAGTCACTATCCTGGACTCCTAACAAATCAAAATTTCAAAAATAATCCTACTTCACAACTATACCCAAATAGAATCTTCAATAACCATTCTTTTACCCTACACTTGGGTTGGAACAAAATCCACGGGAAATTTCAGAGAGCAGTAATTGTTGAATCATCACCAAGGTTGGAAGGCGGTTCTATTTTTTTCCTTGCTTTCGTATTAAATTTTTTTATCTCAATGATATCTTATCCTTCACATGTACTCTTTTTACCCCAATACCACTTGTATCAAAACCTTGAAGTTTCAAAATCCAAAAAGATTAAGAATTATTTTGATGTCAGTATATGAAATAAATAAAAACATATTTATTTACTCATGTGTCTTGTTATATCCACATCTTGATGTCCTATTTTGTAGGATTGTCATTTTTCGTATCGTATCGTATCCAACCCATATCCCTAAATATGATTTCTAGTTTATTCATATATAAAGAAAATGTTATACTTGATACATTTGACAAGAAATTGAACGGCAGAGGTAAAAGAAGAAATGGGGGAAATCTTATATCTTTTCTTTCTGATGTTTTTCTGATTTATATTTTTGACAAAGAGCTGAAGAAATGGGGGGCAATTTGCAAGCAAGCTTCAAGAAGAACAACAACATTGTTCGATGGAGTTTGTGGATCTCCACATTCAATACCAAACAGAAGTAACTATAAAGTTCTCGAAATTCTTCAATACTGAAATTCGTAACTAAATAAAATAAAATCATACACTTTAACTTTATTCATTTATTCGTTGTGTGTTTTTGATACATTTTATAGGAGATTGATAAGCAAACAAACAAGCAAGGAATGGGAGAAAATCTAGAGCAAAAAACAAGGTAGAAAAACCTTATAACTCACGGTGGCCCTAAATCTATAAACATAGAGAAGATCAAATTGGAATCAAAGATTGTGCCAAGGACTCAAAGATTTCATATTTTCCTAGCCTCCTTAAGACATGTTTATAGCTTTTGTAAAACCCTACAAATACATTGACATTACACACAAAAAAATAAACTAACTAATTATAGTGATATAGCATCTTACATGTAGGAACATATGACATCACATGCAATGCCAATTGTGAGACCCACTGGCTGATGGATAGGACCCACACGGGTTACTCATTTTTTTCTCCATTTTCCATTCATACATTTCATGTTTTTGATCCTTACAAAAAAACCTTAGCCAATATGCAAAAGAAGAATGCAGATCATCCACAATGCATTTGACAATTGCAACGGAATCCAGATGATCTTCCTGCATACCAGCTATTTATTACTTATTAGAAGTGAAGCCACACGGGAGTCCCAGACTCCCAGTGATTTAATATGGACATCATTTGAACCCCAAAAAAGTTCAAGAATAACTTTCTGAGCCGTGTGGGTTATAAGACATTCAAGGCTGAGAAATTGCTAACATATTTCCAAAGATTTATTGTTCTAAGATGTGTTTTGCATATGCAGTTCAAGAAGACATTGAACTCTAGCCAAAATCTAGTTCAAGCATAGGTTGGGCGCAAGTATGCACAGCTCCAAAAATGCCACCCTCCTCACAATCTTATTAGTTTCCTACAGCAGAGCATAATAACTAATTTCGACACTCTCATTGTTTAGACAAGATAAGTACATGTGATCTGAAGTAAGATATGTAGAGTATCAATTTCAAAAAGATTTTGAAGTTTGAACCCAAACTAGATTTGAGTTGGGCGCAAATATGCACTGCTGAAAATATGCTAATTTCCTCAGTCTTGTAAGTTTCCTACAACAGATCATAGTAATCAGTTTCAACACTCTCATTGTTTAGACAAGATAAGTACATGTGATCTCAAGTAGGACTGTAGGAGACATAGAATATCCAAAATTTGTTCACATAATAGGGGAAACAGGAGTCGGACAAGTTTAGTACCAAGACTTGTTTACACAGATAAAATGTTCCTAATAACCACGCCTCATAAAAGTAAAGGACCCAAAATAAAGTTTAAAACAGGCAGCCTATTTTTCAAATGCAACATGACTATGTCACAGTATTTTGATTGTACTTTGGTTGCTATTTTCATTTACATCCTACAATTCTCATAAGGTTAATTTTGTTACATTTGGTTTCCCACCATAAAAAGTTGAAAAGGAATGATAACAGTTTAAACCTACCACTCAAAATTTTATCTCTTCTGCTTTCCTTGATTCTCGTCAGCGAAAGTGAAAGATGTACAAGCTTATGATATTTTGGGCTATTTGGCATCAATGCAAAACCAGATCTCAAGCACGCAATGAAAAGAAAAAAGAAATTCCCCAAGATAAGATGTAGCACTTGGAATGATGATGTCAAACAGAAAGAAAGCACATAAAAGTTTGCGAGCGGAGCAGCGTCTATGGCCACTGCACACCAGCGTCTATGGCCAATCGGAGACATGCGCAAATCCTTCCCAGTAAAGCTTTCAGTTTCATATCCAAGTCAAACCATAAAAAAAGATGGTCATAAACGATAAAATCCCACAATCAAGTCATGATATATTAGGTGAAAACAGGAAATCAAGTCCGACACATAACGGCAGATCGGGCCTGAAACTATAAAAGAAGAAAACAACCACAAAAATAATACAAAATTAAAAACGAACACAGCTCTTAAATAGAGAGAACCAAAACGCAAGACCGAAATGGGAAAAAGGAACGCACCAGGGATAACTAACAGTTAACGAAGAATAAAGACATTCAAAGGAGTGAGTGAGTTTAGTATTTAGATCAATTATTGATTCCTCACCATGGTTGTAATCTTGGGGGAGGGTGAGAGAGAGAACGAGAGCGTCAATAGCCGCTGGCGATCTACTAATCTGAGTTGAATTTTTAGTTTTCTGTTTCCTTCTTCCTCTTTGTTCCGTTCTTCCGATAATTATACTTCTCTTAAAGTTGAAAGTAGTGAAAATTGAGGACGAGTCCAAAATGAACGTATAATGATCGTAAAATGACTTGAGTTCTTCTCACAAAGTTATTTGGGTAAGTCTATGTTTAAATTTATATATAGGTAATTAAGTACACTTATATTTTACATCTTAAAATTATACCTAACAATGTTAATTTTGTTTAATTATAAAAAATCATATATGTTAGACCATTGAGATATACATAAATTTTTTTGATGGAGTTATATATGGAAATCATTTATTAAATAGTATGATAATTAACGAAAGTTTTATATGAAAGTTATATATATTTTGATAGTTATATATGAGAAACTTAATGTATAAATAAATTGTTAGTATATTAAGTCAAAATTATATTACAAAATTTTCTTAACAATAGTAATGCATAATATATAAAGTCTGAACAATGTTAACAGAATTCAAAAACACGAATGCTAATATATAATAACATTTATGTTACTATATGATTGAAGTTACAATTAGAGTCGTGTTACCAATACAGCCGTATTACTATACTAACACTAATGTTATTATAGTGAATTTTAACGTACAATTACAAATATTGAGACTTATATTATGTAACATACACTTTAATATTTACAATAACATCAAATTTTTGCGTTCAGTAACACATCTAACTTTACAAAATACAAAACAATAGTTTTTTTTTTTACAGTAACATCAACTTTTAAATGATTTTAGTAAAACACTATTGCTATTAAAACATAACTGAAGGACGTAATTTGAGGACTTAATAAGTTGTCACCAATGAAATGATAGTGAAATACATTTAATACTGGGTCACATCATAGCATTAATGAATTTATTATCATATTATTGGTGACAACTCATTCTGTCCTCAAATTATGTCTATAAATTATGTCTCAATAGTATTGTTCTTAGTAAAAATACGATCCACAAATTAAAAAATTACAAAATGACAAGTAGTAATACACAATCGACAGTTGAATTAGTACACTTAACGCCAATTGGTGAACATCAAGACATCAAAATTCTGAAATTAATTTTTCGGTTCAAGTACAGTAACATTAACTTTTTCTACAATAACACAATCAAAAAATACTCAATTGTCTTTAGCAACAAAAAAATCAACAAAATCGAAATCTACAACATTTTTAATTTAGTACTAGTATATAANATTTATATATAGGTAATTAAGTACACTTATATTTTACATCTTAAAATTATACCTAACAATGTTAATTTTGTTTAATTATAAAAAATCATATATGTTAGACCATTGAGATATACATAAATTTTTTTGATGGAGTTATATATGGAAATCATTTATTAAATAGTATGATAATTAACGAAAGTTTTATATGAAAGTTATATATATTTTGATAGTTATATATGAGAAACTTAATGTATAAATAAATTGTTAGTATATTAAGTCAAAATTATATTACAAAATTTTCTTAACAATAGTAATGCATAATATATAAAGTCTGAACAATGTTAACAGAATTCAAAAACACGAATGCTAATATATAATAACATTTATGTTACTATATGATTGAAGTTACAATTAGAGTCGTGTTACCAATACAGCCGTATTACTATACTAACACTAATGTTATTATAGTGAATTTTAACGTACAATTACAAATATTGAGACTTATATTATGTAACATACACTTTAATATTTACAATAACATCAAATTTTTGCGTTCAGTAACACATCTAACTTTACAAAATACAAAACAATAGTTTTTTTTTTTACAGTAACATCAACTTTTAAATGATTTTAGTAAAACACTATTGCTATTAAAACATAACTGAAGGACGTAATTTGAGGACTTAATAAGTTGTCACCAATGAAATGATAGTGAAATACATTTAATACTGGGTCACATCATAGCATTAATGAATTTATTATCATATTATTGGTGACAACTCATTCTGTCCTCAAATTATGTCTATAAATTATGTCTCAATAGTATTGTTCTTAGTAAAAATACGATCCACAAATTAAAAAATTACAAAATGACAAGTAGTAATACACAATCGACAGTTGAATTAGTACACTTAACGCCAATTGGTGAACATCAAGACATCAAAATTCTGAAATTAATTTTTCGGTTCAAGTACAGTAACATTAACTTTTTCTACAATAACACAATCAAAAAATACTCAATTGTCTTTAGCAACAAAAAAATCAACAAAATCGAAATCTACAACATTTTTAATTTAGTACTAGTATATAAGTTCTCTTGAATCTTGGTTACAAGGTTAATGTCCACTTTGACAGAATTAAATTCCTAATTGTTATTATTTTTTTCTATGTTACTATTTTTTAAGTGACCGTGTCTTTATTGAATATGTTATTATTGTTATTTTTTAAATATTAATATTTTATCGATGAAGTCCAAAGTAAATTAAAATTATAGTTTATGGAATATAATAGGTTTGAAATTTGAATATGAATTATTTTTTGGTAAATGCTAGTTTTTTAATTTTCGGATAAGGAAACATTGTGGTTTGGAAGATTGTAGCCGGATTTGAAGAGGATTATGAAGGAGGTGTATATGATTGGTTATTAAGTCCATAAACGTCGTTTATAACATTCCTACATGACAGAGTTGTAATACTAACATTGACAAAAATAAACTTAAAACCAAATAAGTTTATTTGACGGATTTATCTCCAAATAAGTCTATATAGGGGAGTCGGTCTCCAAATTTTCCTTAAAACTAAAATATATTTTGCAAATCCAATATTTTGACCCAGACTCGGACCCAAATAATTGTCGGATATGGGCTGTAATAATGCATGGTTCCAAACGGTGTCATATTAAAAATAAAATGAAAATTGACCAAAATGACATTTTTCATACCATTTTATGTCAATAAATCCAATCATAACATTTTTATAAGTCTTCCTAGATAAACTTATAATGACTTAAATCCGTCAAAAAAATTTATTTGGGGATAAATTTGTTTTTAATCTTATTAGTAAGGAGTTAAGTCTATTTTTTTTAATCTCGAAAATATCTTTTACATTATTACTTTGGTCTGGTATGAAATGTGACGCCCCTAAAACAGGGGGTCCTTTATTAAACCGTTGACTACCCGTCAACCCGCAGAAATACTCGTAATTGTCGCACAATTCAACGTCACGTCTATAACATCCCCTTAACCGGGATTTTAACCCACACGTGTAACCCGTGTACATTTTATCATTTGATCCAATTGTGGTTCAATATACCATATTTCATATTCCATTTATAGTCAATTTACATCATTTGAAAGGAATGACACATGACCTAGGAGCATGACAAAACAGTTTTAAAATTTCAAATTTTTAGAAGGCCTACCGATAGCACAAACCGGTAGGGTGAGCTTACTGAAAAAATCTTTACCGGTAGGGTTTGCCTACTAGACAAAGTTGTACCGATAGGCTGTGTCCAGTTTTGTCTGTTTCACCTGTTTTTGATTCCTAACCCATTTCACCACCATCCAAAACATGCTTAATGAGATTTTTCATATAAAACAAGCTCTCTACAACTTCTATTACATTCAATTCCATGAATTACATGCCCAAAATATAATTTTCACAAATATTACACAAAAATGTGCTATAAAAGTCACAAGTCGGCCTTTTTCATCTTTGAGACTCGAAATGAGAGTCCTCTGCCAGTGTGAACCCCGCACCTAAAATATTTTTTCGTATAAGGTGAGCCACGCCCAATAGAGTTTTTCTTATAGGGACTACTCCCCAACCTAAGTGTATATGCAATACTCATATGTAACATTTAGCAGTCAATAGTCATTCCAACCAAAATTGAAGTAAGTTTATGTTGGAATCTAACATGTTATGCCATGATATGAGATGATATCCACTCATGCAACTCAACCCGAGCCCTCACCAGCTCCTACCACACAATGCATTGCCAATGTATTGAGAAAAGACTCGCCATTAATAAATTACATCCAATGATCATTTTGAAATAAAGTCATGTGGTTATAAAATCAAGTCATTATTAGATGTTACACATCAAATGACTATTTTATAAAATAAGTACACTTTTATGAAATTTCACCTCCGGGGAGTGTACGAACTAGGTATTTTATAAAACAAAATCATGTGTTTTTGTTGAGTAGCGGAATTTTGATGTCGCACCACAAGTTCCACAAAATCTATACACTTTTCTGGAATTTCACCTCAGGAGAGTGTATGAACTAGGTAGTCAGGTCTTCCACCCGAGGAAGAGTCTAGCCATACTTGCTATACCCGACATAAGTTTTTCATGCAACCGTGCGACTTAGTCGGATTTTTAATCCAACTTTTTCGAGCCCACCCATCAACCACCAAGTATGATGTTTGATTAAACCATGCACACACCCATATCCACACCCATGTCTCATGCCCTACTTCAGTGCAAATGCAATGTAATGCACCATTGTAATATCAATGTCATATCCTATATGTAATGAATGTCATATAAACAAATTTAATCACATAAATACAT